GCAGCCTCCCTGTGTTTGTTTCTGTGTATTCAGTAGAGCTGATTTTACTCCCTGTCTTAGTAGCATGGCCTGTGTAGAAAGGCACCTGTAAATTGTTTGGGGCAGAGCCTTAGGTAATCACCAGGGCAGGGCAATCCTCCTCACTTCTCTGTGGCTGTTAAGAGGGTTCCAAGAGAGGACAGTGCCCCCGCTTGGCTTCTGGCAGTTCACCCAGCACTTGCCCCATTTCCAGTCACTTCACCCTTTTCCTGAGTGCAACTGGCACCCTTCCAGCTGCTGCACCAGCGACGAATCCCAAAATGGGTGGGTTTGCATACATTGTAAGACCATGCTGGTCCTTTAAACAGCGAAAATCGGGCAGTTTCTTCTGCTGCCTTAACCGTCCACTGGCTTTTATAGCCTGAGGTAATGGGGATCTGTCTTCCCTGTGCTGGAACCCTGAGCTGTGCTGTCTGGCCTGGGGCTGGGATCACTCTCTTCAAGATACCCTCCCATCCATTCTGCCGCTGCTGCTACCAAAGCCTTTCTACTCCATACCACCTCTCTGCCTATCTCTGCGACTCTGTCCCTCTTACCTGTCTGGACGAATGTATCTTCTTTAAATCCTTGGTTATCAGATTTCCATATAGCTTGATTTTCTGATGGTTCTGGGTGTTACTAGTTTTGAGATCTGGTTGTAGTTCTTTCTATGGTTGCACGAGGAGGCGAAGCATGTCTACCTACACCTCCATCTTGACCAGAAGTCTTAGTTGGGTTTTTACCTTTCTTGAAATAATAAAGCATAATATGCCAAAAATGTTGCATATCTTCTTCCATCTTCAGTATTAAAATGGCTGCACAAAAATTCACCAATTTTGATGTTTTTTTAAATGCATGCTGATATAACAGCTCTCACAATGTAATCTAACAACATTGTTTCAAATAAAGTTAAAGACAACTAAGCACTACTAGAGCCATCATATGGGAAAGACATAATAGACTTTTTGGCCAACCCAATAACTTATGATTGCAACAACTAACTTCTGTTATTTAGGGAATATACAGTATTGATTTTTGAGTGGCCTGCTATTGGTTGTTAATGAGCGTAATGAAGTAAACTAAGTATTTTAATACATTTATGAAATAGCAAAGTTAAAATAATCTGTAATCTTAGTGACAGAGGTCTTCTAATGGTTTTGAGAAAAGATATTACATATATTCACCTAATTTTACTACAGAGGTTCATTTTAGCTTAGAATTTAATAACTTGATTGGTTATTGAAAATAATTATGTCGGAATTTAATATTATTTACACTCAAAAAGATTTGTGGCAAGTATGAGACAAATGTATATTTTATATAGTCAGGAAAAATGTGGAGAGGAGGGGAAATATAACAAGATCCTTAAGGCTAAGCTAGTTGCTGTACTTGAGTATTAAGTTAACCTTCAACTTAACTGGCAATCAAAACCAAAGAGGAAACATCTTGTATTATATCCCCTCTTTATCTGCTAAGCACTATAACTCTTTAGGAGCAAAACTTTCTGGCACTTAATTTTTAAATAACTTCATTAGATCATTTTATCAGGGACATGGAATGACATTAGGGTATCTTCAAAAACTCTGGATTCTTAGTAGTAGGAGATTCTTGTTAGATATTGCATTTAGTTACTTTATAAGTTTAGTAAATACAATAAGCAGCCACTCTCTGTCATGCATTATTGTATATTAGCTATTTTAATCCTATAAGCAATCATGGAACACACCTAATCTTTTTTTTTCCCTTTGTATTGAATAAAAAGATTACCAGCGAGTGTTAGCATATTAGTAGTAAAAAAAAAAAAATGAACTCATGCATCTAAATAAAAACGTTTTCATTTTGCCTTTAGGGTGTTTGCTTTGATGTTCCCACAACTGAATCTGAAAGGTTACAGGTATTTAAAATTTTTTATCTGTTAAAGAGTTGAGCATGTTTCTCTATAAGATAGGAATTAAGAACATAGTCACAACATCATTATCATGCCTAAGTCATTTAACAATTCCTTAGTATAAAAAACCCACCCTGTGTCATAGGTAAAACATTTTAACAACTGATTTCAAACATAGAAAAAATAGAACTGCATAAAAATTCTTATGTACCCGTCCTTCAGCCGCAGCAGTTATCAGCTCTTCATGTCCACTTCCACCCACTTCCGCACTCTCCTGTATTATACTTTTGAATCAACTGCTAGGTATTCTATCATTTCAACCACAAATATTTCCATATACTTAAAATGTTGAGGACACTTTATTTCCCATTGTCTCTTAAGTAGTTTTTAATATGAGGTCTGTAAAGTTCATACATTATAATTTGATGTTTCTTAAGTCTCTTTTAATCTATAGGTTCTCCCTCTTTTCTCTCTCTCTTTGAAAAACTTCCTTATCTTTTATCTGTTGAAGAAAGATTGTCCACCAGGTTCCTACAGTGTAGAATTTGTCTGTTGTATTCCTGTGCATATTTATCTACATAATTTGAAACAAGGGGGATTGTTCTGTTTTTTAAGTCTTTTTAAAAATTCAGAACATACTGTGAATATATTTCTGTGTCAACTGTATAGTTACTTATTTTTAATGGCTCCCTGACATTTGGCCTTATGGGTGTCTATCTTTCCTTAATGTCCTATTTTCTGACATTTAGATTATTTTCACTAATCCACTGTTATAAGCAGGTCAGCACTGGAAGTTATTATTGCTAACTCTTTATACATTGCCATGTTTAATCTCTTTAAGATGAAAGTTTTTAAGATTTTATTTATTTATTTTTAGAGAGGGGAAGGGAAGGAGGTAGAGGTAGAGAGAGAAACATCAATGTGATAGAAACATTGGTTGGCTGCTTCTCACATACGCCCTGACTGGGGACAGAACCCGCAACTAGGAATTGAACCTGCAACCTTTTGCTTTGTGGGATGACACCCAACCAATTGAGCCACACTGGTCAGGCCTTTTTAAGATGAATTTTTAAAGATGACTGCATAGCCACATGGTTTGCACATTTTTAAGGCTTTGGTCAAATACTGCCACCAATAGTGTATGTGGGTGTTTGCCTCTGCTCACTCTTACCAGAAAGGTATTTTAATATTAACTTAGCTTGGCAACTCATGGTCACAATGAAGAACAGTTAGGGTTGCAGGATATACCACAGTGATGCTCTAATGAGCTGCTGATTTGTCTATGTTGAGTTGTTTATCCCAATACCAAATTGTTTCCAATAGCTACATTTTTTTTAGTCCCCAGCTGGTGTTTACAGGTTTTAAGCTCCATTATCAGCTCTCACTCCTTGCTTCTGCCAATGTACCTGCTGAAAGCCAGGCACTACTTATTAATAGCTTATTTGTTTTATACAGAGAAATCAGTGCTCTCTTTTAGAATGTATACAATTTTTAATAGTTTATTTTTTATTGTATTTTTCTTTCATTACCATTTATCCCCCTTATACCCTAGAATGTATAAATTGAATATGAATTGAGAGTCTCAAAATAGACCTGAGAGTTTCACCCAAGATTGAAACTTAGAAACCTTAGTGAATGTGCTTTCAGTGGGTTTTTTCCTTGGTTTTAAATTTTGTTCCATATACCTTGAATTTAATGGCCTTTAGATAATAGAGAATAGGTATGAAAAAAGTGTCCGGTATTCATGTGCTTGCTTATAGTTTCTGTTCTGTATTTATATTAATCCTGCAAATTCCTCTTAACAGGCAGAGTGGCATGATTCAGACTGGATACTCTCAGTGCCATCCAAGTTACCTGAAATTGAAGAATATTATGATGGAAACACATCAACTAATTCCAGACAGAGGAGTGGCTGGTCAAGTGGCCGGTCGGGCCGGTCAGGTCGGTCAGGTGGTCGATCTGGTGGCCGGTCAGGCAGACAGAGTCGACAGGGGAGTCGGTCAGCAAGTCGACAAGATGGTAGAAGACGAAGTGGGAATAGAAATCGCTCAAGAAGTGGGGGCCACAAACGGAGTTTTGACTGAGAATTTGATAATTACCAGTGTGAGCTTACCTGTTTCTGCCTAATCATGTACATTATTCACCAAAAATTAGATCATCGTAGTTGAGGTATGTGTCTGCTATCTGCAAAGAAGTTGGTTGTATTTTTTTAAAAAGTATTTCACAAGAATGGATGTAAACAAATCTACTTATCCAGTTACACCTTTGAATAAAAATACCTCCTTTTATTGTCTCTTTTCACTATGTGTTAGAATTTTCCTGAATGTAATCTTTTAAACTTTTTATAAAACATGGCAGTCGAGTTAATCTTACTTAAGTTTACTTGTATTTTACAAAATGTGTATCTGTATTTAGATTATTCCTTTCATAGGATATAACGAGATCCCTTCCACATTAAAGGGCCATATAAACTGGTGACATCATTAGTTGGGTATAGCATTTTAAATTCTAGGTGTAAAAAAAAATTCTAGGTGTAGGTAATTAAAAGGATGTGCAAAGAGTGCACATTCAATAATTTATTCAACAGATATTGGTTGGACTGTCTACCATGTGCTCATCACTATAGCAATCACTAGGGATATAGAGGTGACAAGGCATGGTCACTGTCCTCAATGAACTTACATTCTAAAGACAGGCCATTATGAATGAGATTAACACCCAACTCCTAAGATGAAGGTAATACCTAGCTAAGGTGAAGTTGGGTGCGAAAGCTAAAGACATGGTTGGGGTGTGCCTGACCAGTCTCAGGAGTTAGGAAGGCTTTCAGAAGTGATGCTCAAAAGAAGAAGTAAAGCAAAAATATCAGTTCATCTAGCCAGGTGTATGTGAATGGTGAGAAGAGGAGTTTAGAGGGGAGAGGCTTTGTAGGCAGAGAGAACAGCATATGCAGAAACCCAGAGGCAAAGAAGAGTATGGTAAGTCTGAGGACCTATAATTAGTTCAGTATGGTTTGCCTGTGACAAGCAGAGGACAGAAAAGGAGCGATAAGTAATTAATAACTTAGAGGGACCAGATTTTAAAAGCTTGCGTGCAGTAGTCAGGTAGGATAATCCTACCTGTTCCACCTTTTGAAAGGCAGATTATAACATGATTGGAGTTTGCATGACTTGTGATTAGCCTTTCTGCTTCAGCAGGACTTGCAATACTGATTGCTCCTATCTGATTCTTCTTGGGAGAAAAAGAAAATGTTGTGTGCATTATTAAAGAGTTCAAACATTCCCTGGAAGACAGTGGGAACCCTTAAAAAGATTTAAGTAATAATTAACATGATGAGATTGGTGTTTTAGAAAGATCACTGGCTGCACTGAGAAGATTGGATTGCAGAAAGGGTAGACTGGAGGCCAGGAGGCCCTTTTTTCTTCTTTTTTTTTTTTCATGGATTTTAGAGAGAGGAAGGGGGTCATGGAGAGAAACAACAATTTCTTGTTCTATGCATTTATTGGTTGATTCTTGTCTGTGTCCTGACTAGGGATTGAACCCGCAACCTCAGTGTATTGGGATGATGTTCTAACCAACTGAGTTACCTAGCTGGGGCTCAGGAGACCTCTTAAGATCTTGTTAGAGCAGCAATTTTCAACTGGTGTGTTGCAAGAATTTTTAAAAACATGCAGTACCTGCCTAGTCAGTGGCACTGACCTCTTTTTCCCTTAGATTGTCAAATTAAAAAATGGCAGCTATCACAAGATCCGTCTGGTGTGAATGCCATCTTGAACCATAAATATATAGGTCATATAATAGAATTGCACTTTATTGGTCACATGGCATAATGAGGTTGCATCTGATTGGTTAATTCTTATACCAGAAATCCTTATATACACAATATAGGAACCTGATTTTTTAAAAAGTCACTTTGGAGCAAAAAAGGGTAGGTAATTACTCATTATTTTTTGTAAATCAAAATTATACCTGTTTTTGTCAGATTGGCAAAAAATATATTTTTAATGTACTGCAGAATTTTAGTAATTATTTATAATTGCTGTGAGATGAAAAAGATTGAAAGTCATTGTGTTGGAGTAATTCAAGATAGAGGTGATGGCAGTCTTCACTACTGATAGGTAACATGTTTTGAATCTTGAGAACTGAGGTCCTTGAGAGGCTGTCGATAGTCCAGAGCCACACAATTGGATGACACACAGTGGAGTGAGGATTTGGACCAAGGGAAGTCTGGCTTCTGAATCAACACTCTTAACCACTGTGCTAAGAAGTCACAGTGGGCATTGGGAAACAAAGACTTCAGAAGTTTTTAGAAGGTAAAATTGTTAGGACTTAAGTGATTTGAATTGGAAAATGAGAGAGGCTGAATGTAAACCTAGGTTTTTGTCACTGAGATAAGCTACTAGAACTAAGCAAGAAAAGCTGTTGAGGGAGTGGGAATATGATTAGTTCAGGATTAGATTTAATATTGAGTACACATGAGATATGTAAGAGGAGATAAACAGTTGGATTTATAGTTCTGAAGCGGGAGAGAAATCTGTTCTAAAGATTTAGGAATAATAAACAAAAATGGTCATTATTATTAAGGTCATAGATGAGATTATCCAGGAACGTATAGGACTGAGAAGGGAGAGGCTTTGTAGGCAAAAATTGAAAATTGGATTGCTCTCTAAAAATCAACTTAATTTTTTAAATGTTAAGGACTCAGCCAAAGTGACCAGAGTAATGGTCCATAGAGTCTAGGCTGCCTAGGGATTGAAGTGAAGATGGGGTTGATAATGGAGACTGTAGAAGGGCCAAGGCACTGAAGGTCAGTGAGGGATTCTGAATTCAGGTGCAGTGAACTCAGAGGCACATCAATATAATTACTGAGTAGCAGAGGGAAGGGGATCCCATTAAGGGTTAAGCAGAAGAGGGCAGAACGCCCAGAAGTGTTGAGTCTTTCAAAGAAACCAATAGATAAGCCTGAAGTGCCCATTGGTCTTGGCAAAAAAGATATCTGACATGAAGAAAGACCATATTAATATACTGATGAGAGTAGAATCCATTTAGCAGTGGGTTCAGCAGGAAATAGGAAATAAGTCGGGACAACAAAGATGAACATGTCTTGAAGAAATTTGGCTGTGAATGGGGAAGAGGAAAGCTGGACATAGGAGAAAGGATATGAGATCACAGTGAGAATTGTGTGTCTTAGGGGTTGTGGTGTTTGGGATGAGGAGGTTTGAGTATATTGAAATATTAATATGGGCAGTAGCTAGAAAGGAAGGAGGAAGAGAAAATATATGATGGATCAAAGTCCCCGCGAAGACCCTGTGGAATGAGATCAAACACACATGAGATTTTAGCCTTAGATAGTAGAAGCACATCTGTAACATTTTAAGCACATCAGGAAGAAAATGATTATCATGTACATGAGTTTTAAGGTATTAAGGTAAAAAATTAAGGGAGTGCCTACTTCATGTCTTCTATTTTTTTTCTTGCATCATCATTACTGAAGGTGAAGAGGGAAGTACTAGGCTAGGAGGTCTGAGGAAAGTGGAGAAACGCTGAAGTATTAACTAGAACAAGATGGAGAATTCATCAGGCAAACTGAGGGTTACAGTTAGCTTTGAGGGTCTAGTTGAGATTGGAGCCTGAATTTGTAGTGGCAGCAGTTAGAGTGATCGTACGATTTCCTGTAGCAACACTCAACATTCTGTTACAGGAAGGGACATGGGAGACAGTTGACTGATCCAGGATTGGGGTTTTGCTCTGTGAGCTGAAAGTATGACAAAATGAAAAAGGACTTCCCCTGGCAAGGTAGCTCAGTTGGTTAGAGCATACCATCCCGATATGCCAAGGTTGCAGGTTTGAGCCCTGATCAGGGCATATACAACCAAATGCATAAAAAAGGAAAAACAAATTGATGTTTTTCTCTCTGTCTCTAAAAATCAATTAAAAATTTTTTTTAATGTTAAGGACTCAGCCAAAGTGACCTGAGTAATGATCCATAGAGTCTAGCCTGCCTAGGGATTGAAGTGAAGATGGGGTTGACAATGGAGACTGTAAAAGGGTCGAGGAACTGCAGGAGAGTCAGGGATTCTGAATTTGAGATTTCAAGAGGAGAGCAGGTGGGAAGACAGGAGCAGCATGTGATAGTAGGCCTGTTGGGGGCAAAAGTTATTTCAGTTGAGGTGGTCAAAGAACTGGCAAGCCATGCCTTAAACGGATATTTTTAATGGGCAAAGAAGTCTAGAATGAAGACAAACCAGACGTGAGGAAGGGAGAAGCCAGGTAGCCAAATATAATGAATAATGGAGGTTGTTAAATTACCTGAATTAGGAGGGATATAGGGTGATAAAACTTCAAAAAACTTCAGAGACAAGTGTATTTACATGAAAGTGAAGGAGTAATAGTTTGCAGAAGAGGACATTGACACAGCAGGCAGGGTGCATGGAATGTGAAGGAATAAGCAGTATAGCCGTATACATGAGAAAGCTGCCAGGGGAGTATTTTTCAGGAAGAGCCAGATTTCAGTTAAGCCCAAGTGTAGGGAAGGACTCTCAGTGCTGGACTGAGAAAGGAGGAAATTTTGATTAAGGGGAACAGGGCTCCAGATAACCTATGCTGGGGGGGCAAAAACCTCAGTTGGATCTGATCTGAATAATTGTGAGCTCTGGATTTATACCCAAGAAGAAATAGGATCTCTATTTCTAGGTGCATAGGTACTAATACATGAGTCAGAATGCCCAATTGTATGTATAACATCCCAAGCACTATGTTTGGTATACAAAAGTGAGTAAGTAGTGCCGAGTCTCTGCCCTCAGGAGCTCAGAATCTAGTGACATAATTGGACACACAAATTTAAGTTCATGGCAATGACCAAATGGAATGATTTGAGAGCTCTGCACAAGGGCACCTAGGCCCACAAAAAGATTTTGGATGTGATGATTGCACATGAATTAAGTGAGGTAAAAGGAATGGGAAAATGGGCGAAGACACAATAGCTACTAAATGACATGATCTAATATAATGAACAATAAATAGCTCTTATTGCTGGGATCTTCACTATGAGGAAAGCAGTAATGAGAACACAGCAACAGTCCTATCTTGGAATGCTTCATAGGCCTTGTTTTGGCCACTGAAGTGTTTCAGGAAAGAAAATGAAAAAGATAAGCATGTAGGTAAATGCCAGCAGGGTGGACATGGATTTAAGGGGTCCTCTTGCTAAAGGCCGGCATCCCTATAAATAAGGAAAGTGAAGCGGGTCCTAAAAAGATTTAATAATAACTTTCCATGTCTTCTGGAATGAGGAGGAGGCAGGGCAAATTCCTCACCAAAATCTCAGCTTTGGGTCGCATTCTGCCCCTTACCTTTACTCTGCTCCTTCCTCATGGAGCCCAGCACTTCATGGTACCACTTTTTGGCCATTTAAAACCTCCAGTTTGGTACTCTGGCCAGCTATATGAACTTGAATCAGTTGCTTTGTTCTTCAGTTTTTGAATTAATAATGTTTTATTACCTTCAGCATCAGATATTTGAATAACGAATTCACGTTTATTCATTTTAATTTTCTTTTTTAAAATTGTAGAGAGTGAGAGAGAAACATCGATTTGTTGTTCCACTTATTTATTCATTGGTTGTTTCTTATATGTGCACTGACTGGGGATGGAAGCTGTGACCTTGGCATATGGGGATGACACTCTTAACTCAGTGGTCCCCAACCTTTTTGCACCAGGGACTGTTTTGTGGAAGACGATTTTTCCATGCACGGGGGTCCATGGAAAGGGGAGAGATGGCTTAATAGTCTGCCACCAGATGCAGCTTAATTGTCACTTGCGACTTACTGATAGGATTTCGATGTGAGTTTATGATTTATTATGATCTCTGGGCAGTCAAACCTCTCTGCTAATGATAATCTGTATTTGCAGATGCTCCCCAGTACCTCAGCCCTACCTCAGATCATCAGGCATTGGATTCTCCTAAGAAGTACTCAACCTAGATCCCTCCTATGCACAGTTCACAGTAGGGTTCATGCCCTACCTAGTGCCTTTGATGATCTAATAGGAGGTGGAGCTCAGGTGGTAACATGAATGATGGAGAATGACTGTAAAGACAAATGAAGCTTCACTCACTCACCAGTTTGCCCGCCACTCGCCTCCTGCTCTGTGACCAGGTTCCTAACAGGCCACTGGTCGGTACCAGTCTGTGGCCCTGGGGTTGGGGACCCCTGCTCTGACTGACTGAACTA